CGTGCCTGCGTGTGCGTGCGTGCCTGCGTGTGCGTGCGTGTGTGCGTGCGTGCGTGCGTGCGTGCCTGCGTGTGTGTGTGCGTGCGTGCGTGTGTGTGCGCCCTCGTGCGTGTGTGTTCGCGCTCGTGCGTGTGTGCGCGCGCGTGCGTGTCGCGGTTTATTCCTCACTCATTATTTCCTACGTTCTCACTGTCTCTCGATCTCCACTCCTCTCTTCGATAAAAGAGCCAGAAATAATGAGGGAAATGTGAATAATCGAATTCCATCCGACCTTACAGATGGTAATTGCGCAGGATTTGAGTGGCGAGCTTTAGAGAAGCTGCGACATTGCCACAGTCCAGTTAGAGAAAAGAGGAAAATCCTGTCGCATGTCCACGATAGGGGGAGACTTCTAGGTGCGATGCATGCCGGGAAATGTCACGCACATTTTTTTTTTTTTTTAAGCGATGTATATATTTTCCTGCTCGCGTACCGTAATATGGAGTTCTGTAAATATGGGTAATTGTAATTTCTTACGCAAGAGTCGAGGTCGTCTGCGTGCGATAAACATCGTGGGAGAAATGCCGTGCTATACATTCGTAAGTTTCTCCGGACGTTTTGAGCTTTAAAACTAGTTTTAGTGCTACTCCCCGCGAGAGCGTGCGGTGTAGATCATGTCCGTCACCGCCGTCGTCACCGCAATGTTGTCGACAATTTGTCGTGTCCTTGTCATCCAGGAAGTCTTATATATATATATATATATATATATATATATATATATTACATTTATTTAATAACGCATTTATTTATAAGTCCCGGAAATTACTTTCTCTTCTGGTTATTTGACACGTTTTTAGCTTTCTAGTTCTGACGTAACCTATTGTTTTTAGGCTTATACCTTCATTTTACAGATCATTAAATTTGTCGTGTGTCTGTTCGTCTGTAACTAGTAGTTGTCAGGTAGTTTTTTTGCAGCGTAAGAGGCATGAAATTTATTATTTGTTCTCTTTCAAGAAATGTCACGAGTGCTAAGGCTAGGCTGTTTAATGGCACATACGACTTTTGGATGTGAAGGACAGATTTACAGTGACTTTTCAGTTTCGCTTAGTTGGATAGCACATTTTGTTATTGCACGTGCTCAAACTTCTGGTTGTGGATTTTTTACAATTATTTTGTACCCTCGCGTTACTAACACTGATTAAGTACACGCGAGCTCTTTCCACAATTTTATTATGATTAATAATAGAAATATATTACGCATAAAACAAAAACCTGCGTAAGTCTTGAATTCTATCCGTTAAACTTTTCCTACTATTAAAAATCCTCGATTCTTTTCATCTTTTTTCTAATTTGCTGCGGATTGGCAAGGTTGATGCAGCTTGGTTACAAGATTAGTGTTCGACGGAGAAATTGCAAAACCATATGATACTTTTTTGCTGTATTGTGAAAGCGTGTCGGACTACTCGAGGTGTTGTCATGGAAACGGTGTTAAAGAGTCATGACTGACCAACAAAATAAAAGTAATGATTCGTGTTCTTGTTAAATTCGTCGTTGTTTTATCTTTGTTTGTCACCAACTGCAGGTTAATACAAATACTTGCAGCTTAGTTGTGTACAGAAAGTAAAATCTTTGTTACTAAAGAATTTTTAGGCCTTGATATACAGAAGGCGTGAATTTAGAAAGCAGCTTTCATCAAGTGGGTATTAAAAGCGTTGATTTTCAAGCAATATCGACTCTGTGTATTTTATCTATAGTATGGTGGTGTATTTGTTTATATATTACGAGTAGGCGAGAAGATGTGTGTGCGTGCGTGCTAGCGTGCGTGCGTGCGTGCGTGCGTGCGTGCGTGCGTGCGTGCGTGGCGTGCGTGCGTGCGTGCGTGGCGTGCGTGCGTGCGTGCGTGCGTGCGTGTCAGCGCCGGAGATCTTAAGTGTTGTACGCTTTTGTAAACTAACTACGAGAATTTAGTTGGTGAAATGGACAAGTGTGTAATATCATATGAAATGTTCAATTTCGTTTAGTTCCAGCATAGATACGTGCAAGAACATCGGGTGTTCCTGTGTGAACATCGGGTGTTCCTGTGTGAACATCGGGTGTTCCTGTGTGAACATCGGGTGTTCCTGTGTGTCCAAGAACATCGGGTGTTCCTGTGTGTCCAAGAACATCGGGTGTTCCTGTGTGAACATCGGGTGTTCCTGTGTGAACATCGGGTGTTCCTGTGTGTCCAAGAACATCGGGTGTTCCTGTGTGTCCAAGAACATCGGGTGTTCCTGTGTGTCCAAGAACATCGGGTGTTCCTGTGTGAACATCGGGTGTTCCTGTGTGTTTTTGTTTTCGAACATTGTGAAATTTCTTTGTCCCGTCGTGGTCATCTCATTCTCTACATATTGCCACACATTATTGAATCTAGGAAAAGTAGGAATTGCGTCTCCCAAGTGCTGCGCGTACACATGTACGATGAAGTGAATGCAGTAAAATTATAGCCAATGTATACTTATGGTTGTTACTGAAAATCTGTAAACCATTTGTTTCCCGTGTTCTTCTGCCATTTACCACCAGTTATAGACCATTTCGTTCGCCGTACCCATTATCGTGGAAGTGAGCGCGGCCGGTCGTTGAGAGACTAGTTCCGAATCAATTTATACGTTGTAATGGCTTAGCGTTCTTTTTGTTATAAAGGCAGTCGGGCCGACGCTTTTGGTGATATGTGGTCACAAGCAGTTTTCCTTCTAATGTAAGCGCGCGCGTGTGAAGCTGTGAGCGTGTGCGCGCGCACACACGTTTAGCAACCAGCGCACAAAGGAAATTAATGTGCGCACAAACGGTTAGTTCCCTAAAATAATGTATAGTAATTAATAATTCAGTCAACCATTCAGTGCGCACATACTTTTGTGACAGGAAAGAAATTTGCGCAACATAAGATTTTTGCGCACACTGACTACTAATAACCTAATAAGCCTGGGGCCCGTTATCAGAAACAAAATTAGTCTTAACATTAGTCTTAACATTAACCGTTTCCCTTAGACCGTTGACAGAAAGGCTGCAAAGTTACCTGAATAAAAAATCGTAGCAGGTTTTCTAGCTCATAACAAATACGAAACAAAATACTGTCGATGGTCTACGAAAAAATGTTTGTGCTAAGAATAATGTTAAGACTAATGTTGTTTCTGACAACGGGCTCCTGACACATTGACTTGTCTCTCGCAGTAGACGAACTAAAAACGTTTGTGACAGCTGCTGTTTTATCGGTCTGTCTGCACAACGTATAAGAAAATCCTAAACGCATCTGAACTAAGTCGTCGAAATGTAACGATATATTGGTCGAAATTTACGCTAGGAGCTAGCTCTGTCGTTTGTCTCGCGGGATCGGATTTTCTTTGTCTCTTTGAGTCCATTTCGTGAAGCACAGAGCGGCATCCCATCTGTGTCGCCATGGTAATTAAGTGTGACAGGTTCCTCCTAGCAAACCTTCTGGCTGTGCAGCCATGGAGTAATGAGCCAGTATAAAGTCAGTGTATAAAGGCGGTACGAAAGGTCAGTATAATAGCAGACCTGCCAAGTCTCACGCATTTCGCGGGAGACTCACGCATCTGGACTCATCCTCCCGCACTCCCGCATGTTCTAGGCATTCTTACGCATTCACGCAAAAGAAAAAAATCATCAACAGTTCAGTTTTTATGCTTTAAAATTTTATTTTGCGTCGCATTTTTTTTGCGTATTTTGCGTTTATTTATTTATTTGTCGTATTTTTGCGTTCATTTTTGTCGTATTTTCTTCGAATGCTAACAGAATATATGTACTGCAAATACATATTTAAGAGCCAAATATTCAGAAACTGCGACGTTACTGGTTGACGATGTTCTGAACCTCCAGCTTTATATTCCCAAAATAACCCATTCTCCAGCAAAATCTCACTGAACCCACAGCAAGCTGGTTGAACACCCTTGGCAGGTCTGTAACAGTAGTTACCCATCTCTCTCTACAGGGAATATAGTTTCGTAGTCTGACTTGCTGTCGCCACGACCGCGCACTAAGCTAGTCTTTTACCTTTATGGTCGAAACTAATCGATTTCAATTTTGTCTGTTTGACGGAATTGTTGCGCAGGCGTGGCAAATTACGTTAACCTGTTTCGTTACAGTCCCATTTCTCTAGAGTGAAATGAGCTTAGCGCTCCCCGTCCAGAACTACAACGATAAAAGTTTTCGCTTTGTGGCTCAAGTTCGACTGGTTATATTGTGGCGTCACGTATAGTGACACCAGGAATCTATCAATATTGATCAATATTGATAGATTCCTGGTGACATCAATAACATAATCATAACTGCTGCTTACATGATCTAAGTTTCCTGTTTCAAAAGCATGTTCTTAAAATAAATATATTTTGCGTGTGGTTTTGATGCTTGCTAGATTTATGTTGCACGTTCGCTCTTGCATCGCATTACATTTGCAATTGCGCCACGTTGTTAACATGATTCCTTTCCCCGATTGTAGTTGGAGTATTCAACATCTTTATTCTATTCTGCACAAACGAGCTGACACAATTTATCGTGGCATTTGCAGCAGAGACCGTCTCAAGGAACGCTCCCGTCTGTCTTTATCTTGTATGGGAATTGTGTATTGCACTGGCGATAGTTCATGCAACACGCCCACTACATGACCACCGCCCCTCCCCCGCCATATAACGTCTGTAATTAAACCGCGTCAATTTAATATTCATCCGCATCTGAGTAGGGTATGAAGATTTTATGGTGGTGGTGGGGGAAGCTGCAACGAAGCGCAGCGGTTTAAGTGCGTTCGTGCGTGTTTTGACGTTGATTACGGACGATATAATAATTTTATATCTTCGACATAAAATGCGATTATAATTTTGTATTCGCGATGCGCGGTCGTCCTTATCATTCGTCCAAAGAACAAAGCTTACGAGCTTATAGCGTAACATAGTCTGAAGCAGTTGTGAATCATGTAGCACGTGTGCCAGTTCATGTGCCGTTTATATATATATATATATATATATGTATACCAGGTACTAATAATGACAAATGTTATGTCATAATGAATGTCAATATTAACCACTGATATGATATATATATATATATATATATATATATATATATATATATATTTAACTTCACTATAAGGAATTAAGGCATACAAAAGTTCAAACGTTAGTCATTTGAATTCTGTAATAATGCAATTTAACATGAAACGTGAAACTTTGAGTCGTAAACTTACTGCTGCTTTGCTTGATTTCCAAAATGAAACTGAACACTCCCGTTATCCAAGGTGTTCATTTATTAGTCGTGCGATTTAGTCAAAATTATGTTGTCGATAAACTGTAATAAAAATACACCTGGCCCATTAATCAAGGAGACGATTAAGTAACTATATGGATTCCTTCCACTTCATACTTTATTGACTAGATGTATATGGCCGTGTTCCACACGGCGATATACTCGATCTATGGCTAATGAAATGTTCTAGTTTTGGCGCGAACAAGTTGTCGAGATCTGTCTGGATCTTCAAATTTACGCGTTTGACTTCACCGGACCGTTGCAGACTCAAGGCATGTATATCGTATCCCTTAGGAAAATATTCTATATAGTTTCTATTTTTTGTTTTACTCTAAAAAACTATATAAATTTTATCGATTTTTTCTTTAGAATTTTTTTGAGTAATTTTTTAGATTTTTTTTTATAAATTACACTGAAGTATTATAGCACGTTGAGTTTCTTTAGAAGTTTCTCTATAACATGAAATAGAATTTCTATAGGACGTTATATAGAATTTTTATAGTGTTGAATAGAATTTCTTTAGAATTTAGAAACAAGGGATGGTTTGAGAAACATGATCAATCGTATGTAGATTAACAAGGGCTATAGCGAACGTTGGATTTCTAATCGTCGTACCTTGCACACTACTTTGTTATCTATTCACTCCAGATATCATAGCAGGTATGTGGTCAGTGAACTCATGTCAATATCACATGCCTCTACATGGCTTCGGGAATTACCGGTATTAAGCATAACGCACACACCCGAGCAAAACACCTGAACGTGGAGCAAAGCGTGTTTCGCTCGATGTTCGTGGCTGTGTGCGGATTCCCGAAACAAAAAACATTGCTCAGCTGAGCGTGTTTCGCTGAACAAGCAATGTTTGATTTGCGGAGCATGTTTTCGCCTGAGCGTACATTTGGCTCGGGTGTGTGCGTCAATCGTTCTGCTACACAGCGAAACGCCACAGACGGTCTCCAATCAATATCCTTAAAAATATCACATGACACACAAAATTGGATGTCCATTGGATGGCTATTTTTGATGTCATGTAACAGCGGCGCTGTACGCAGCGTTTCTGTATGTTTTGCTCAGCTGTATGCTGTGTCGGGTGGCGTGTGTGAGCTTGCTCGCCGAGCAGAACGCGAAACGCTGGAAAACAAAATTTCCCGTTTTGCTCGGGTGTGTGCGCTAGGCTTTAGGTTCTGTTTTGGATAGGATTATGTATCCGAGCGCAGCATGCTATATATATATATATATATATATATATATATATATATATATATATATATATATATTGAGATGACAACAACTGGAGACATAATTATGCACTAACGTTTTCACTTTATTAGCTCTTCATGTGCATATATTTCAATAATGTCTGTGTAATTTAACTTGCATTTGGAAAACTAAACTTTATATATATATATTCATTATATATATATTATATCGTATCAGTTATGTGATCAATGCACACATCACAGTCAGCAGCATATCAATATATCATATGTCCCTACATGGCTTAATTCGAGAAGACCGACATCAGCCTCTGTATATGTTATAATATCAGGAATGTATAATATTATATAGTTTATTATTATCCACTCCTGATATTCTGTATTCGAGCTCAGCATGCTGTGGCTTATTGCAATAGAAACACCGGACCTTGCGTACATGAAGAACGGCAGAGGGAAGGCGACAGACAATATGGTGACTAGCAAATGTGCTGTCGGAGGGAATTTAACACTGAGCGTGCAGACGTGTTGCGCGTAGATATATTTGCATACTAGCCATGTACGTGTGGTTGCATTCGCATGAAAACTCTTGCATAATTTGTTCGACAACGACAGACGTATGGGGTGAGATAAAACGGGGAAAGGATGATAGGGGAAAGTGAAGGTAGGTTCAGAGTATCTGGAAACACATTAATACCTTTAGTAGGAGTAGTGGTGTAAAAGGAAGAGGAGAAATGGATTGCTGACTGTTATGAAAGAGGGAGGACAGAGGAGCAAAAGAAGCAGAAAGAGAAGAAAAGGGGCGTGGATCGAAATAAATATAAAACGAAGAAGGGAGAAAATGAGAAAATGTAGTGAACATCGGG